GCGCTGCTTAAGAATCTCTCCGGTCCAGCCCAGCCCCCCTCAGATTCTTAAGTCTGCATGATCCTGACATTCCCACATTCTGTGAGCTGTTCAGGCTTCAGGGGGGCTCAGATTCTTAGCGCATTCTTAGCCAGGGTTTGAACCAAGGTCCAAAGGTGTTGAGAAGTTCGCAAATCCACTAGACTAAAGCATGCTTCCAACTGTGCCCAAACAGAGCCCCGGCCCCAACAGTCCTGCAATCCACGGGCTTATGGTTTAGGGTTTACTAAAAAGAAGTTGTCATACTGGCTGCTATGACGGTTTTGGGGTTTTGCGCGTTGGGCCTTTGGCTGAGACCTGAAACCCTTCGATTCAAGCCGAACCCCAAACCCTTGAACACCTTTGAGCCTTCAAGCTCTAGCCGGTGCTCAATTCGGAGGTTTTGTTGTAAGAGCCTGTTAAAGCTAAGAATCCGAGGGCTCAGATTCTTAATTAAGAATCTGAGGGCTCAGATTATTAGTTCGGAGGTTTTCTGAGGTCTCCAGCTTGGGAACGCGCCCTAATAGGAGCCTATTAAAGCTAAGAATCTGAGGGCTCAGATTCTTAATTCGGAGGTTTTCTGAGGTTTCTAGCTTGGGAACGAGCCCTAATAGCAGCCTATTAAAGCTAAGAGTCTGAGGGCTCAGATTCTTAACTGGGAGGTTCCCGTTTGGTTCAACACGACTCCGGGTTAAGAATGTGCCCCAGATTTCAGGGGGGCTCAAGTTCTTAAGTCGAAGGCGGCTTGACACGGGTGGAGAAATGAGCATGGGGAGGAAAATTCAGCCCCTCAAATTCTTAAGCAATGAATTCTTAACCAATACTTCCGCTGTATCAGTGCATTATGGCCCATGCAAAGTCCACAACGCAATGAGCCGAACCCCCGGATCCCCAAGTCTGCAGCTCAGGATACGCGAACGCCTCACGAGGAAGATCTGCCTGGTGTTGTCTGCAGCGTAGCGTAAGTGTTCATGCCCACGCACCAAACAACAAACTGAATCACCTCGCGAGGCAAGATACAAAGGGATCTGAAGAGATGTGAGGGCTGATTTTGGGGATGAGAATTTGAGCATCTGTATGTAAAGGACCTGCAGCTTCGTTGAAAAGCCATCAAAGAAAATGCCTCAGCAGGACGGGTCCATCGATCCCTGGTACGCCGATGCAGGCTACCCGCCAGTTGAGGCCTGTTCCGATTTTGTCCGGGTTCCTTTGTCAACGCAGGTGTTGGGATTCAAGTTGGGATGCACTGGACACTGAACAGCTCGAAGGTATAGCTGCGAAAAGCCGCAGAGGGCCTTGTGGCCTCTTCACATGGCCTTGCAAATATCTTCGCACTCCCGAGCACTGCTCAGCGTCTGAAGCCGAAGTCGTAGGTGTGTAACGTTTCGCAACATAGGCATGTGCGATGAGCATGGATGATCCTTGTGCCAGTGCTAGTGCTGGTGGTGGGGTTGCTGTTGCTTGACGACTTCTCCTCCTTCAGCTTGAGCTTCCATCCATGTCCGCAAGCGAAGTGCTGCACACACTGACCTTCAACCACACACACACACACTATATAGGTTTCAAAGTACTCGCTCGGAGCTAAAGGCATACTGGTGCATGCATAAGTTGCGCACCATGCCAGATGCATTGCTAACTTGTCCGTCGCGAGTGCACCGCGGTCAATGCACCATGGTCTCAGTTGCAGAAGCTGGGACGAACACTTCACAATGAGACTTGTGCACGCAACCCATGTGCAAACAGCTGCTCTTCTCACGTGCCTCAGGCCTCCACACATCTCCTGGTGACTGCCGCGGCTCCCCCAGCCTTCCTTGCCGGGATCCGTGGCGACTCGCCCGAAACTCAGAGTCGGAGCAGCAACGCCAAATTCCACCCAAATTGCTGATTCGTGGGCACCCAAATTGCTGATACCGCGGATCAGGATAGCATACTGAATGCCATGGAACAGACAAGCAGTCTCAGTCACATTGCTACACATGGACTGCTCCCGCTTTGCATGCGTACGTGCGAACAGCTTACGGGCTTGAAACTGGCCGCCAGAGTGGTGGTCCTCGGCGCATTCAACAGAGTCCGCGGACAGGTAGGCGCCGATGGTCTTAGAGCCTGGCACGTGCCGTCATGGCAGCAGGTGTTCTCAGCACTCTTGCTTCACTCCAGACTGTCCCAGATGCTAGCACGCGCCACGTCATGCAGCGAGTGTACCACCACTGGATATCTGCGGGGGTTGACATGGAAGAAGCTCTTCAGACTGCCATGGTTGAGATAATATCTGCACGTGTTGGCAGCACGCGTCAGATTACGCTCGTTGCCTTCATGCTTCTGGGAGCTGCACCGAAGATGTGTTCGCCTTGTCGACACATTGGTGCGCCCGGTGGTGCTAAACCTGGTGCCCTGTGCATGGAATCGCACAAACGGCGGGTGTCGCCGAGTCACGAAGCTCCCGAGGCTTGGAAGGACAACAGGACGTGGTATGCCAAAACTATTGGCCATGGAACTGCAGCTGCATCTTATGCGAAAGACAAACCGGGCTTGTGATCTGGGCTTGCAGCACTCTGTCTGTGTGCCACAGGTTCTGAACACAAGTTCTGAATTTTTGAGCCGTTTAGGCTGAGGTTACGTAGAGGCAGCAAGCAATGAGTCACTGGTAAGATGCCGTGAGCATCCAAATCTCGGAAGCCGGATAGCCATCTGTTCGAGGACTTGCATGGGGCACAGAGGGCACGTTGCAAACAGATTTATCAGGCCACATAGCTGTTCGAAAACTGCCAAAGGCATCCAAAGGCCGAATCAGGCCCGGATTCATGTGGCACGAAACAGATGCCGCCCACTTCGTGAACCTCAACTCCGAGCGAGCCCGGTCCTGCCATTTCAGTGTCCTTCGCACTTTGGCGTTTCTGAGGTATTGCCCGGCTTCCGAGAATACTGATGTGTACGCGCCAGCTGCTTAGTAAAGCCTCGAAGAGATTCGCTTCTACGTTGTGGTTTGGTGCTTGACCGTCCCAAGCCCCGTTCCGCATGCTTATGCCCATGAAGTTCGACAGACCGAGTCGTTGAAGCAAAGTTTGCAGAGTGACTCCGTGTTGCTACCCTGTGTTGGCAGAATACTGTATCCGATCACAACTTACGGGTTCTGAGTCGAATGACGAAGCTTTCCTCTTGCAATTGATCTGCGAACCATTGGGTTCGCTAGGTTCTAAACAACTACTCGGTCCAGGATCAATTGCACCCGAAGTCGTCCAAAATCATCTGCGCAATGCGATGCAGTTACAACCCAACACGACTCAACTAGGCAGGCGCTCGAAAAATGTGGCGTCAGCGTCAAGTACATCCTCACGGAGGTCGGGTGAATTTCTCAATGGCATTTCCGACCATCGCATTTCATGATCCTCGTATGTGATATTAACATAGTGGGTCTTGAGTGGATGCAGCATTTGCAAGCGACCTGTGTGTTCGGTCCAAAGCGACCGCAGCCTACATCCAACGTTGCCGCCTATCGCCCGAACCCGCAACTGTTTACGAGTGCGGCTTAGCCCAGCGTGTGCATGCTGTGCAGGACGAGCACGAGCACGGCTGTGGACTCCACAGCTGGTGGCAAACTCCGTGCGAGGCGGCAAGTCCTCGACATTCGAGGGAACAAAAGAGCAGTTCCATCGGCTGCTTGGAGCTGTGTTGAAGGTGAGTTCTCTGCGCAGGAGTGGCTGCGAGAGAGAGGATGGATCGCATCCTAGGCAGCATCGCCCAGGCTGCATGAGTTGTGTCAACGAGGCGTAGGACGGCGTAGGTGTGCTTGATGGATCTGGAGTACGAGTGCGCAAATAGTTGCAACAGATTTGCGGGACTTTGCGGGGGTGTCAACCGGGATCATTCTCGTGGCCCTGCTCAACTTCTTCTCGTGGTCTGGGGGGATTTTGGGCTAGCACAGCAACTGAAGGGCTGTTGAAGTCGGGTCTCAGAATTCGTGTCTGAGTGGACTTCGGAGTTCTTGAAACGCAAGGCACTGAGCCCCAGGCCGCCATGCACACCCGAACTTTGGTGCCACGCCGAGGTCGAAGCCTGTACACTGCGAAGCACGGCCAAGCCGGTTTGCAACCACAGGCCTGTCGGCAGAGAATAGCCCCGAAGCTGCCATGACAGTTGGCCAACCTTCGAAAGCTTGGGATTCATGTGTCATCATCGTCGATTCACTGCTGAGGCATCGCTGGTTCTCGGGCGGAAGTGGCAGCGAGTGTCCCGCGAACGTTAGAAAAGGAGCTTTGCGCTTGTTGCTGCTCTGATGCCTTGGATTCTTGGTATACATACATGTAGGCGCACCGCAGCACGTGCTGCAAATGCAGACGGTTCCGAGCTTTGTGTTCCCGTGTTATTGCCCTGTCCGAGGTAGGAGCCCCGTCTACACTGTCGAACACAACCCCCCAGCCCCCCCCCCCGCAAGAAGCATGCGCTGCACACGCTCCGCGACTTTAGATGTTTCGCCTTGCAGGCATGGAAAGCCCAGATCCAGGAGCTGCTTGGGGCCGCGGCAAAGAGGGGGAAGGGACAAACACCCCGTGAAGTCTGAATACTCCATGCATGACGCTTCACAGGTAAAGCTACTTCGAACATGCACTCACCCTACTTTCGTGATGTTCCCGTTCTGGAGCGAAGCAGCTCCAGGTTATGCACCAGCAGCAATGCCAGGCCTGTATTCGCAAGTTTGGATCCCGATGCTGTGCAAGCCTTGCCGCAATGGGGAGGAGCGCGCGCGGGAGGAGCTTCGCAAATACAGGCACCGGACATAGGGTTGCGAGAGCTGGCTCTCGTTGCTTCGCTCGGCCGAGTGTGCTGAATCATGGCCAGTTTCGGGCAAGATGCAGGCGCCAATGAGTATAGCATGCCAGGCACAAGCCCCTGTATGGCGCAGAGCCCAAAACGCCGCAGCCATCAGCCTCAAGCTGCGCAGTTTTGTGAAGAGCGGCGCCTGTGCCCAAAGCCAGCAGAAGGCCATGCAGATGCCAACACTCATCAGGCGACCGGTCCAATTCAGGGTAAGGATGCGGGGGTTCAGCCTGTTTAGCTTAGCTGAGAATCACCCCGTGGCTTCGAAGGTGACACCATTGCAACAGCTGCTAGTAGCTGTGTGCTGCCAGTAGGAACTTTGGTTTGGGGGCCGAGTGCCAGCAGTGGCCGAATGATCCGTAGCTGCAAGATCCCGCTCAGTCTCCGCATGCCGATGTGGTTCTCAGAGCTTTCTGTCCCCCAGTCGAGGAAAACTTGGACTGCGCACGTCACCCCAGCCTACTGTCGCCTTGCAAAGTATCGCACCTGCAAAGACCAATGGTCGGCAGCCTCGGGTTCTGGAGGTGGTTCGCCTGCTTTCTGGTCGTGGCTTTGGCGCAGAACCTCAAGGGCAGCGTGGACGTCGTGAGCGCTGTGACGGACCCCTGGGATCGGGTTTGGGTCGCAAGCTTGAGGCAACACCGGACTTTGAGAAGATTTGGGGTGGAAGATGGTGCGCTAGAAGGTATCGTCTCGGGGCTCGCACGTACTGCACCCTCGACGCAAAGGGCCAAGCACCGAAACTGGGAAGCCGAGCCTTCATCGAGCCCGTTCCGGCCTGCAGATGTTCCCAAAATCTCAGGACGCTGAAGCCCCGTCCTGCAAGCCTCCCTTCCCGACCCTTTGAGACGCGGTCGTGACTGACATCAGGATGATTCTACAGCGGCCGCCCCAACGGATCTGCATCATGACGTCCCACGCCTAGGCTTCAATGAGTCAAGGCTTTCATGTTTGGGAGTCGCTTAGATTCGTGTGCCCTGTGGACCGGGTTACAAACGGCTACAACGCCAACACTTTTTAGAGCACTTTGGAGAGACTTCAGAGCAGAGGCTTTTCAGATGAATCTTCGGATTGAGGGAGGTTATAAGCGCTTCTGCTTCCGCGTTGAGCGGCCTTTTGGGTCGGTGCAAGAAAAGGATCGAGGCTTTGCTTGAGCAAGCGGCCTTAGATAGCTCTCGGATCCCTTTGCTGAGTCGCCCTTGTTTCAGAGGGATACGGAGCCCAGGAGGCTGAGTCGAAGCTCCATCCTCCTACGACACCGCAAGCCCTCGCGGCCTTCGTCTTGGTGCCGCGGCTTTGAATCAAGACTTTTCCTGCACTGGGCGAGAGGGGTTGGCCATGTTTGCGGTCGTTTAGCAGATTCAATCCAGGATTGCCCCAGCACCGCGGCAACCTCTGCAAATTGCCCGAAAGCCCCGAGACCTGAAGTGCAGGTCTTTCTGATTCCTGGAATCGGGCTGATCGCAACTTGCCCGGATCAAGCTCGCGTCAAGTGCTGTGGGCCATGGCTCCTGTAAACCCGGAGCTGGTCTCGGTCGCGTCTCCGAGCCAGTCCTTTTGCCGGGTCGAGGCTGCAAGAGACAAGAAGGGGTCCCGGGGTGCCCCGCAAGCTTCAGCTAGGTCATGAAGAAGGGCAAGGACAACGGCTGGGAGGGAGCCTTCGGCTTCATCTGCTGCATCATCACGCTCGTCTGGGCCCGGGCCCCAACTCCCGATCGAATCACCTCACCCTCGCACTTCTGGACGAGGTTGCCGTAGATTCTGGTGTTTGAACACAATGGTTTGTGGATCACAGAATCGGTTGCAGCTACTCTGGAATTGTAGAAGCTCGTGCGAGAGGCGACTTGCGAAGACAGGAGAGGGAGTGCTTGCGTAAAAGGTGTACACCGCCGTGCTCGCCCTCTCCGCTTGAGAGTGGCTTGGCGTGGCAACTATAAGTGCAGGATGTTCTCAGATGTCGTAGCATGCTCAACGCGGAGTCCCTTCGCGACCCTGTAGCTTGTGGAGCAGCAGCTTCGGGTGAAGGGTGATGATCCGTCAAGGTTAGAAAGACTCCTCGCATCCGTCTGTTGAGGTCGAAAGGCTGGCAGCGCAACGTGAGGGCACAGACTTTCTGAAGAGCGCTCCCATCAGGGCACAGACTGACCAACCTTAATTTCTCGTCAGCGTCATGGAGTCAGGTGGCAGGTTTTGGGTCTGAAAGGACTGAGGATCATGTGGATAATGCGGGAGGTTGTGCTTTTTGCTGCAGCTCGCCTGGAGAAGTCATAGCTGCCATAGCTAAGTGTCTTGCGCTATGAAGCTAGTCGTATGTTAAGCCCTGCCCAGTCGAGAAACTGACAGGAGGGTCGACTTGCATTAAAAGTCTTCAGCACCCCAAATGCACAGCTTCGGAGAGTCTCATCTGTTGGGAGCCGCTCAGCTGATGCAGCTTCGCAGAGTCCCAGGGAACTAGCAAAGGCTTTCGGAGCCCAGGTCTAGGTTTCAGGGCTGTGGCTGGACACGCAGATCTGTCGCGGATGTATGAATGGAAGTTGCAGCTGCTCTGCTCATGGGGCTACACCGAGTCCGAAAGCATGCGTGTGAGGGTAAACATGGTTGGCAGAAGTAAGGCTGTAAGCCGCGAAGCGAGGGAATCGAGACTAATTATCTGAGATTGTTGCAAACAAGCTTTCCTTGCTACAGTACTGGCATGTAAGGACACTAAAGCTTGATCCGTAAACTCGAGGCAGGGGGAAGTTCCAGTTCCCTGTTAGTTGCACCGGAGGTGATCGGCTTGCAGCTAAGGCAGCAAAGGAGCAACTTTTGTTTGTAGTTGGGTTTTGCTTAGTGGTGGTTGCTAGCGGCTAGTGTTGCTGTTGCTATAGCTATGGCTGCAGCTGTGGCATGCATCAATAGCTGCTGCTGATCTGGAATCATCGTGTTGAGAAACATTGGAAGCTGCGAGCATGCAGATGTTTCCGAAGCGGGTCTTGTTAACGTGCACCCCCTCGGTTGCAGACCGATCTCCACGATTTTGACTTGTTTAACCTCCTGCCGGGCTGTACCCGGGTCGACAATTGCGCAAGCAACGACATGGTGCGTAAATTCGGAAGCCTCTATTGATTCTCCTTGTCAGCAGCTGAAGATCTCCAGAATCAGAATCCAAGAGCTCAGCTTCACAGCTTCACAGCTTACGAGGGCCTCGTGGCCAAGGGCCAGGAGGTCGGTGCCACCCCGGACAAGCAAGGGCTGTTTTTTGGGAGGCCTCAGCTGCAGCGTTTCGGCTCCGAACCAAAGGCCGGCTGTTGAGGAGCCAGGGAGCCAAGATCTCGCGCAATGCAGATCCCTTCCATGCTCCGGGCCAGCACGAGAGAAAGCCTTCAGACTGGATTTCTTCTTTTGGACACAGCTCAGTTCAGGCTGGGACCCTTTGTGGGTTTTGCGAACTTCGAAACACGCTCTAGACTCTAGATACATACAGAGGCCTGCCACGCTTTCGACCTTCAGCGAGTTTGCAAAGCGAAATCCCAATGTTTGGGCTGAAGATTATTGCCCAGCACCCCGTAATCCGTCTGACAGTCAGCTTGTTCCGTTGGCATGTCTCGGCGTGCCTGGACTCTTCGTCCTTCCTTACTTTGTGTCGTAGAGACAGATGCATCCGATCAAAGGCTGCGATGCCTGGCTGTCGCCTTCGCCTTCGTTGTGGTCGGCGCGCAGAACCTCAAGGTCGGACTCGAAACCGTGTCCCCGCAAGAGCAGCAGAGCACTCCTCGCTTGAAGTTTGCAGAGCATGCGGTGGAACATGCCACACTGTTCTCCTGTCTTGTGGAGGGTTCCTCCTCCTCCTCGCCGTTTCCTGCAAGTGCAGGGCTGTGTCTTCAATTCCTCCTTTTCCACGTTGCATCTACTGGTCAAGCTGACAGTCAGTGCTCGCTTCGCTGCCTGGTGACAGGGCAGCGTGGACGTCGCCTCTGTGCAGGCCTTCCGAAGAGGGCTTCTTCGCGAGGTCCATTCAGCGTTGCAGGGAACCATGCTGTAGACATTAAGTCATTAAGGTGGGGATCATGCCGACTCCAAATAGAATCCATGGTGAACCCGAACCTGCTGGGAATTGTGGCCATGACCTTCATCTTTGTCACGTCAAACCTCTCATGCCGAGCCATGTCACTGGGAAGCCGCGAGATGATACGCCAAGGAAGAAGCAAAAAGCCAGCACACTCCGACTGTGGCAAACGAGGTCTAAAGCTAGCACTAGGTAACATCGCCAGGTCAGCATAACCATGAGTTGTTATCGGATGAGGCGAATTGAACTTCCACCATGAGTTGCATCTTCTTTGGTTTCGATCTCCCAAGCCGAGAATTGGAGGGTCGATCCACTGTGACCTTGAGCAAATTCTTGCTGAGCCGAGCACCTGAAGCAGATCAAGGACGATACACCAGTGTCCAGCGATGTGGCCGCGCCGACGGATCTGCATCATGACGTCTCATGGCTGCGTTGCACCGCGTTTCTGCGACTTCTCTGTAGTTCCTGAAAAGCCTTGAAGGAGTTGGGCGGGTCTGCCTAATTGGGGCTTCAAGACATGCTGGAATCACCGGAAGCCACACCCTGATGTGACGGGCTCGATCGCGCCACGGAGCCCAGGAGGCTGAGTCGAAGCTCCATCCTCCTACGACACCGCAAGCCCTCGCGGCCTTCGTCCTGGCGCCATGGCGAGAACTTGATAACTGGTTTCTGCTTTTCTCTTGTACCATGCCATCAGTCTTGCCTGCAATGGGAACAGCCAACAACCAAGCTATGTGCGTAATGCCGGTCGAATTCGGTTCCAGTCTCCTGTGCTGTACACAGCGCAGGTCTTTGTGATTCCTGGACTGGGACTAATCGCAACTTGCTCGCAAAAGCACTGGATCCGCTGTGGACCTTCGGGTTAACGGAGGAGGGGCTGAGGACTCTTCCGAGCCTTGCAGACTTGGGCCTGCAAGCTTGAGTCTTGAGGTCATGAAGAAGGGCAAGGACAACGGCTGGGAGGGAGCCTTCGGCTTCATCTGCTGCATCATCACGCTCGTCTGGGCCGGGGCCCCAACTCCAAAGCAGGGCCGGGCCTTTGGGAGATTTCCAGAAAAGCGCGATTCGGCGAGCCTACAGGGCCCAATTCATGATGCCACCTCTCCGAACACGAGGTCTACACGGCCGTCATCGCCCTCTCCTCTTGATGGGGTCGCTGGGCAGCAACCAAGCTGTCAGACTGTGCTTCGTCTCGTCGCACCTAACTCAGCGCGGAATCTCCCATCGTGCTCAGGGGCGTGCTGTGTTTATGAGACTGGGCCATGAAAACTTTGTGATTTAGGGCCATTTAGGGTCCAGGATTTCAGAACCTGCAGGAGTAGTCGATGGCCAGCCAGCGGAAAGCTAGCAATCCCGAACCCTTTGAAAACATGAGCTGGAGCCGACACTGAGATTGAGGCTGAAGGGCTTCAATTCGTTGCATGGGTTGCAACTGCAGGCGGACGGTGCTTGTGAACGTGACCGTCAGGAATGCAGCATTGACTTTATGAAGATGCTTCCACCATCAGGGTTCATGTGGCTACAAAGACCGGAGGGCTAGAGGAGAGTTCCGTCTTTGTCAGCCTCTGGGATCTGCTTGGATCGGCGGAAGCCCAGGGAACCGGACTGCTTCCCCAGAGAGAAGATACAGCTACAAGCACCCTAAGCCCTAACCGTGAACCTTTAAGCTTGACCCGGGCATTCCTTGATCACAGAAATGTAGGGGACGATAGAAATACACGAGGATTCTGAGGCTGATTGACTCCAGGGATGGACTTTCTTGTCTTGTTTTCGGGAGGGTAGAGGCCCTAAGCCCTAAACCCCCTGAACCCTATTGCGACCTATTGCGGGGAGCAGCCCTTGGTTCCCGTCTCTGGCAGCTGGCTCACTCTGTTGCGGCTCGGCCTCGGCGGTGATCGGCCTAATCAGCCGGAAGTCCAAGATCCTGGCCCCGGCTGAGTCGAGGTCCAGCACTGCCTTCTGTTTCCTAGAGGTGCCCTCGGGCATCAGCTTCAGAGCACCTCCATGGTTTTGACTTTAATCTCCTGACGGGCTGTACCCGTGACGGAAGTTAGCAGAGCCGCGCCGAAAAGAAGCCTCGTCTCCGTGCAGCCGAGCCCGTGAACTTGTGTCAAGCCCTCTGGACCCTAGAAGCCCGTCGACGGCACCAGGCTCGCGCTCCAGTCGTGTGAGGCCTGGGAGTCCTGCAGGGAGCATGCCCCCTTGCCTTACACCACATCTCGGTCCGCGAGTTTCGAGTGCCTCGGGGTTTCACACAGAGAAAGGGCTGAGAACTCGTCGTCTCAGGCTGGAGTGAACATCCGACCTTGCGGATGACCTGGCTCGGAAATCTGGGGTTTCCCGAAGATGGAGACCTGAAACCAGCCGTACACCGTGAAGCACCAGACCTTACAAGAGTAGCTTTGCTTTCGGAAGACCTGAGTCGTCTACATCATAGATATAGCATGTACATGCACATGCATCATGCATGTTTCGGACACATACGCAAACCATGTGCAACTTATGTGAATATGAGTACATACATACTGCAGGAGCCGCGCCACATGTTGCTGGTTTTTACGCCAATGTAGCTCGCAGTGCACGCCCCAGTTCATGTCCATTCATACCAAGTTGAACAAGACATTGAGAGGAGGCCAAATCATCCCGTCCCTGCCTCCGCTTGTCGTGCAAAGACCCAAGAGACGAAGGTCTGCAGACCGGTTTCAGGTTTCAGAAGCCCGCATCCCCCGAACCCGACAAAGTTCGTAGCGGTAGGGCCGCAGGGCGAGGAGCTGCAGGATCCACTACAGTTTGTTGGCGTCTTCAGTTGTGTGGACACAGCACGTCGTGCGTTGGCGAACCTTTGGGATCTTTAAGAAATCAAGGGTGGAGAGCGGTTTCAGGCGGTTTAGGCAGCTGGAGGACTCCTGTGTAGGATGCTGCAGTATCCTGCTCTCGCCAGCGCCACTGGCCACCAGTGCAGTGAGGATCCCTCCGAGTTGCCTCGTGGTTTCAGCATACTCCAGCACTAGGGGGTCAGCCAGAGTAGGGCCTTCTTGCAAACTTCCTGGCCTCTGGGGAGGAGTAGGCCTGGGACAGCAAGCCCGAAGACCAAAAAAGACACTTCGTGCTGAAGCCCTCGAGCTGCGAGATGACGCACTTTGGATTTCCGTGTTTTGGTGTAGAGACTCGGCGCACGTCACGTACCTCAAGCTTCGCTGCAAAGGACATGGAGTATCCCTGACACCCGTATTCCCCGGCATCGAGGGGCCTTTCCTATCTGTGAAGCTCGAGCCCTGCAATATTCCTCCACCCAAACCTGTTTCTGGAATGAATAGTGGACGCCTCCTACGACAAAAAGCTGCCATGCCATCCCTGCTGGACGTGCTGGGATGGCGCTGGAAGGATGGCGGGAGAAGGGGGGGGGACTTTCAGTTGGCGGTTTTCTCTTCAGGACTTGCCAGGAGCCGGAAGAGTCGGGGTAGCTCAGGTCAGCAAAAGACATGGTAGAGTTGCGTCGCAGATACTCATACTCATCATACTCTTAACGCTGCACAAGACAGCAAGTTGTGTGTTTCCACGTCTGACCGCTGCGAAGCGAGCGCACGACGCACGGGAGGATCAGGCAAACTTTACCTCCCCGGCGCCGCCGACGATGGATCAGAGCCGGGAGCTGGCGAAGGCATCCGGTCTCGGCAGGTTCGTGTGATCGAAGGTCGGGTGGGCGTCGCAGATTGCAAGACCCGATGCATGTTCGAGAAAGCTCGGTCGTTTCATAAGTGCAGAACCCGGAAGCGGCTCGGCTCCGTAGTCCGATCAACAAGAAGGGACCATTAGCATTCAACGGTCCTGACAGGTTCAGAGAGTATCGTGGCATAGTGATGTGTGGGACTCTACATCTAGGCTCCCGTAAGTGGCTCAGGACCTTGTGCTGGCAGGGAAGCCTCTGGAAGCTGCTGTCTTTCTGTGCCCAGGCCCCGCGATGCTTGTGGCGTTGTGTTGTTGTGTTGCAGTTCCTGGCATTTTGGAGTTTGGGGTGTATCCTGAAGGTGGACCAAATGAAAGTCTGAGGGTTTTGGTATAGTGGCACCTCGCCATTCCGGCGTGACACCCTGTTACTGTACTGCGTCCATCAGCATGGTTCGTCTGCTGCAATTAGCCGACGGTGCGGCGGGCCAAGATCTGGAGCCACTTTGCATCATGTGCCCCATGACTCTCATCCGGGAAGAGAAGGAAATCTGAGACCTGCGAGGAATCCCAAAATCTGATGTTGCAGGGCTCCCTCAGCGGGAGCCGTATGACAGGCTGGAAGCATGGGCAGACGTTCACGGCTTCACAGGACCGCTCGAGATTGGATGGCTCTGCACCCCGTCGCAGTGTTCAACATGTAGTTCGTCTGAACGTGATGTCGTAGCAGATGAAGTCATGCGCGGAATGCTAATTATTGCGGACGAGACATATATTCATGAAGGCTTGTGAACCCCTCTCCAGCCACAACGCGCAGTCCACCACGCCTTCACTTTGATCCATTTCCCTCAACTCTGCTATGCAAGAAGAGCTCCCTAGCTCTGTCGCCGTCTTGCAGGACCCTGATCGCATCGAGTTGTCCTGGGAGCCACCCAGGTTTGTGAAAGAGAAGGCAACCCGTTTCCCCTATAGATCCGGCTGTTGGAGGCTAGATCTGTGAGCTCTTGAGCTGTCTTTCTGAAGCACGCGGAGACGCTTGTAGGGTCTTGTTGATTGAAGTCTCGGTGTATGCAGTTGAACAGTCAAGATGAGCCGAACGATGCGGGCCCGACTCGCAGGATCCCGTGCGGCTACGCGAGAAGACCTGGGCCGAGGAGCGCAGAGCAGCCGGAGCGGCGCATGAGAATCGCATGGGTGCGGTGCGCCTCCAGCGATACGGGGAGCTGCTGCAGCTCCCCGCCCCTCACGTCTTCAGCCAAAGTCTGGGCTGGGGCCCGGGACTTCTAGGAGCTGGCCGTCTCCGGCGATCGACGCACCTTTGCGCGTGTGGTCCACAACGTCCTCGACGAGGCAAGCGGCCACAGCAGCAATCGCAGGAGTCACGCTCTTCACGGTAAATAAATCGACAATCATCAGCCAATCTGTTTGGGATACGATCTGCAGTCTGTCAAAGGGCTTCGGTGCGCATTTCGGATTCCTTGAAGTCTCCGCTTTTCAATGAAGCTCCGCTGGGTTGCAGACGGGAGGTGCTTGTGTCTTGCATCACTCTGAGTTCGCCGCAACTAAGCCGATTGCTCAGAACCCCCTGGTATGTAGTTGTCTCCGTGACAGAGTAAGTTTTTTCTGTTCTGCTACAAGAAGGACGATTGCGCTGACCTGATCCGCTGCATCAACCAGAAAGGCACGCCTTGATGCCGCCAGTGAATAGTTTGGAGCTCAGCTGACTAATAGAGCATACCGATAGACCATTGCCGACCATCCTGACAAGGGTATGGATAGCTGCATCATTGAACGCAAGTCGCGGCTCTACCGCTCTACCTCTTGACTCTTAACGATGCTCTTCTGTGCTGCAAGCTGTTAAGCTGCCAAGCGGTCGTCGCAAGTCTGCAAGAGTGAAACGCCAGGAAGCTTCGCCCCTTTGTGTACTCTCAGCCCGTATCTTTAGAATGCTCGGCCGTCCTGAGCTCAAGACCACCTCGAAGGCTTCACGCCGGCGCTGCTGAACATCGGCCATCCGGCAGCCCCAGTCATCCCGAACTGATACTTCAGACAGCCCAGAAACCGACCGCGAACTCTGCCGAAGCCTCCCTGTCAAATGAGCTCGGGGTGTGCATGCAAGGTTTCGGATTCCGGAGGATTTGAAAGAAGTTGCGCGCTGTCTCGCAGCCTCCATGTGCAAAAATGAAGCTTGGACAAGGCAAAGGACGCCAGCGTTTCGAGCCAGACGTCCGAAATGGCCACCGTGCCATCGTAGATAGCCAGGCTCACATGCTGGGGATTCATGCTCAGATTTCGGCTTGAAGAGTTTGCAGGTTTCGCGATGGTTTGAGAGATTGGGTTGCCAGGAATTGAGACAAGAGATCAGCGCTTTCGGGAAGGGTTTGACTGCCGTGAGTGGGACAGTGGGATGCCCCATGTTGGAGCCTCGTGCTTCACCGACCCAGGCATGAACACAAGGATTTGTTGATCTTCGCCATGCTTGCCGGTCTCACTTGTTGTGCAAAGCTCGTAACGCTGAGCACCGACTCAGCAAGACAGGAGGGAAGGTTTAAGATGCTTCAAGGGAACGCTGAACGTTCAACCTCGACATTCTGGCTTGAAGACGCTATGTGAAACTGCATCTGGCGGCCAAGAGCTCCTTTCCTTCGTGTCTGGACAGGAGCTAAGCTCCTACCTTCTAGAGATGCTCCGGCCGCACCTCCCCGAGATGCTGGAAGGCACAACTACTCTTGGTTCTGACAACAGCGAAAGCAGCGGTTGTGGAGGTTTCTGTACCGGTGCAAACAGGTGCAAATAGGAGAAGGACGCTTTCAGATTCGCGTGATCTCGGATTCTGAACCTCATAGGCAGCCGCCTCGTCGACTTAAACGAGCGCTGCCGCGTGCTGTGCTACACGCCCGGGCAGGAGCCCGGGTAGGAGCAACTGCTTTTCCGAAGGATGGGCCCGGGCCTTTCCGAAGGGCGCCCTTCTCCAAAATACTCTCCAGGAGTTCGGTCCTCACTACGACGGGTGCTTCGTCCGGCCGAAGGGCAGCCGCAACGAAGGTGACGAATCCATGGTCACAGCTACTTGGATCTATCCATAACAACTTGCAGCCTCAGCTCATGCTTGCTTTCAGCTGTTTCGCGATCGAGGATCAAGGCGCACGTAGCATCCTGGTTATCGTGCTGTATCTTTAGGGTTAGACCGGTTAGACACGACTGCCGCATCTTTGGTATGCCAATTTCGAAGCTTGATAATTCTCTTGAGAATCCGAGCGCTGATTCGGCTTCGTCAATTTCTTTGCTCCATCTATAAAACGAAGCCACGTTCACACGCGTGCGAGGAGAAACCACAGCACGATGCAGCCGTTGCCGTGCTCCATCATGAGAGCAAGTGCAACGCTGTGTATGCATTTGAATGTTGGTCGCGTGTGACATTGTGTACTCATATTTGTGGGTCTTGGAGTCTTGCTGCATGCACCCACAAGCTTGCGAACTCAACAGATTTCACGCACGTGGACCCACGAACGGACACAAACTATGGGTGCATCCACGCACACATGAACATTTGACACGAGTGCGATGTGTCTGTGTGCGGGGCCCGCAAGTACGGCTGGAACCAAGCAGGGCAACACGGAGGAATTTAAACAAGACTGGAAAAAAAGGGGAAAGGCCTTAGTAAATTAAGGGTATCCCCTCACTGCTGCGGTCACTTTTACCAGGTCGCCTCTCAGCGCTGGTCATGTCGTCGCCGGTCAGGCTCCTTTCCCCCGAACGTCTCTTGTCTCGTCTGTAGTTGCGGTAGTCCTCCTTCGCCCGGGTTCTATATCGCTTCCACACCACGTCATCGGTCTCTGGAGATCTCCGCCGTTTCGAAAAGCTGCTGGAGGCGACGCTTTTGTCTGGTCGTAAGCCTGGACGGCCTTCCAGTTGGTTCACGACTTCACGAAGAGCCAAACTGGCCTCCGACCCTGGGGGTTCTCCCCCTGCCCTGCTGTTGTCTTCCACTGCGTTCTCGTCCGTGTTGTCCTCGGGTGCGTCCTTGACTCGTTCAGGCTGCACAATAGGTGCTAGTGAAGGATTTTTGTCTCCGTTGGCGTCGTTGATCTCCACATCGGCAAAAACATCCACTGTGGGGGTCCAGACCGACCCCCATGCCCGGAGAGAGAGAGGTTGGGCCAGCCACAGCAAGGCTGTGCCCAGGGGAAAAGGTTTACGAATGCGAGGCTCGCAAACCCGTCTGAAACTGGCCAGAACCACATCGGCGGGCCTGCCTCCTCACGGGCGGTTTGCTTCTAGGTTCTGCGAAAGAATCCCTGCCTGTCCGCCTGTCCGCCTGTCGCTCTCTCTCTCCCTCTCTCTCTCTCGCTCTCTCGCTCTCTCCTTTTGTGAGCGGGAGGAGTGCATCGGTGCATGTGCATGCATGTGTCTGGCTGCGTGCTTGGGTGCACATATCTTGAGATGATGCACTCATGAATTCTGAGCTCTGAGCCTGCGAGCGTAGTCGCATCGTTCCCCATGCCTTTCCGTGCTCGGATGGCGAGGTGCAGCTTTATCTCCACGATGTCCCAGCAGCTTTGCTGAGTTTAGGCTTCTACTCTGGGCTGGCGTTTACTTTTGCGAAAGCGGAAGCCTAACTGATACCGACAATGTTTTCAGTGTCTAGCCGAGTCCCGGCTCTGGCCAAGTCTGTGCGAGGAAAGTTCTGGCGGTGCCACTACCTTTCTGGCCGGAGGGCGAGGAGCTGGTCCAAAGGCACAGGGGCTTCACAAGTTAGGCAGTGCGCAACGCTTAGCTGCTTCAAATTCGTCACCCGAACCGTGCTAATGCTCGCAAACCCTTTTTGTGCAGCTCGAGGTGTTAAGGAGCACAAAGGTCTTGCTGGGCCTCAATCCGTGTCTCCTTACTCGTACATCACATCTCCCTATCTGAGCCATGCAACGAGCAGTCAGTCAACAAGCCCTTAATCCTCTTGAAGCCAGTCGCAACCCACCTCAACCCTTTGCAAGAGTGATTGCCGTGCCGTGGCCTTGGCAGGAAGCTCTGCCATGCCAGCCCAGGGCCGGCTCTGCTCTCCTCTTCACTCAGTGCATCGACTGAAGCAGTGACAGTCTTTAATGTTCACTTTCAGCAAAGAGTCACAGAGATATGTGTATACTGTATATATATATATATACACATACACATATCTCTGTCTGTCTGTCTGTCTGTCTGTCTGTCTGTCCGTCCGTCCGTCCGTCCGTCCGTCCGTCCGTCGGTCTGT